GCCTGTGCTGTGGGCACCAGACAGGAGCAGCCCTGGCACAGCACAGGATGGAACAGAGCAGTGGGCAGAGCCCAGGGCATGTCTTTTTGGCTCCTGGTGGCAGGAGCTCTGTACAATGGGGCTGACGTGCTGGGTACACACTCAGCTTCTGGAGCAAAACAACACTCTCCCTCCCCCTCTATTTTAAGACCTGCGTTACAACCACTAAATTGATAGAAAAACATGCCCAAATCCTGTTGAGTACTAGGACAAATATTTTTAAGGTTATTTTAAGATTTATAAAAATATTAAACTAGAGAGTAAAACACACTTTATTAAAGTGTCCTATTTACAGTCACATACCTGGAGTCTCTGTTGAGATACAGAAAGTAAAGATGCCTCTAAGACTGGCATTATCAAATTCTGACAGAATTTATAGATTGGTAGGTACAATTATCCTCTTGAAATCTGCTGTTAAGATAGGCTCTCCTTAAAGTCAGCTTTTCTTATGGCTGCTGCTGAGTGCACACATGGAACTGTAAGATGCTGTTTGTTCACCTCTACAGAACAGCAGGTTCACAGGGAGCAGAGTTTGTCAGTCATCCATCGCTCCTACAGCACAAAGTGTCCTATTTAATACTGAGACATTGCTGCTGGATGACTGAAGAACCCAGGCATACTAGGGGATTAAAAAAATAGTTCAATTAAAGACCAGGGCAAAAATAGTTTCATGGGTTTTCTGTTTCAAATTAAACTCTTAAAAGCCTCTTTCCCAAATTTCTTCCATTCGAGTTTTGGATCCAGTCCTAAATGCTGGGTCTGAAACCCCAAATTACACCGCAGTTTGTGCCCACGTCAGTGATGGGCTGGATCCAAATAGCAGAAATAACCACACTGAAATCCAGGGAAGCTTTGGGTCCCCTGCCCACATTCAGCAGAGCCCCTTGGCCTTATGGATCCTCTCTGCTATGCCAGACCCCTCTCTGCTTCCCCACAGCCCATCCACCCACATCTAATCCACACAGGGCCAGCCTGGTAAAAATAATCTATGGTATAAATATAAAAGGATCCCTGTTAGCTGTGAGGACTGGTAGGGGTTAAGTCTTTTATAAGTTCAATTAGGAAATTAAACTCAGTGGGAGACCTGCAATGGTTTCCAGTTGTTCTCCAAGTATCACAACAAACCTCCTCATCTTAGGCATGGGATCTAGGGGGGTATCTGGCTCTCTAATCTGGGGTTTGGTTTGGGCTCATCTCTACCCAAAATATTATTTTAACCACTCTTTGTATTTTATTTCCATACTTTTTCTTTGGTATGCTTTGAGAAAAGATTCTGCCAAAGACAGAAATGCTTTGAGCTTGAAAAACATTTTTTTTTTTTCTGTGTATATGGAAGGCGGTGTTTTGCTTGGCTTAGCTTGTGAAATACATGGCACAACCTGCATGAAATATTTGAGGCCGAGGAGACATGAGCAATTCTTGAAGAAAAAAAAAAAAAAGAAAAAAGTTAACTTTCATTCAAGGGTCTCATTTGTTTAGAGCCACACCTAGACAGGAGGTGTAGGGCAGAGCAAGGAAGAAGAGCTGATTTATGAACTTGTAAAATTAAAATTATTATAAAGTTAAAAAAACACCAAAACAACCCTCCCAAAAAGCTCAGACTCATGGCAAGGTTTCTATGTATGTGAGAAGGAATTAAATCATTAGAGTTTGATAAAAATTCATGAAATTCTAGAAGTACCAGGGGTTAAGAGGAAAGCCCTGCCTCACATGCCCAGACTGTGGGGGAAGGGCTGCCAAGTGCCCCTGTCCTCACTGAGCTGGGCTTTTCCTGCCAAGGGTGGCAGTATGGGGTGGAAGATTAATGGGGAGTTATCAGAAATGTAGGACAATTTAGGGGACCTGCTGGAAGTGATCTCTGGAGTTTTTCATTCTGACTTTCAGCTCCAAGCATGGTCAACAGCATGTCTTTACCTCCATGGGCTCCTCTCTGCCCTAGAAGTGTCCATGTGCCTCCCAAAAAAGGTGTGGAGAAGAGATGGCAGAAACAACTGAATCTGGCTCAATCTGCTCTTTAGCAGAACTCAGACTGGAGAAGGCCCTGGTTTGCCCCATTTCAGAGTGGTGCTCTTTGGAGGTCACAGCATGAGGATGAGCTTGTGGGCAGAGTTGTGGCCACTCAGCCTGTCCCCATGCCCAGCTCTCCATAGTGTGGTGTCCCAGCCTGTTTGACCATGTGTCTGGGATGTGTAAGGTTGATTTCCATCCATTGTTTCTGCCAGTGCTGAGATTTTGGCTACAGGAAGAGGCTGTGATGGTGAGAACTACTCCAGGTGACGTGATGTCATGCTGCCAGCCAGACACAAGTTGGGTCAGGCAAGGGCAGCTGGTCATTGCTTGTGGCCAAATATTCCCAGGGGCCTGTGATAGCACACCAGAGCAAACCAAGACAAAACTCCTACTCTAGGATTTCCAAATCCCAGCCACAGCCCCATGGAGGTGTAAGGTGTGGGCAGAGGAAAGCAGAGGAGGAGCTGGGGTTACTGCAACACACAGCAGATGTAGGATATTAGTTGGCTCTTCGACACTGCTCCTGCTGCAGCTGGTGGGCATTTTGCACTCCTGTTTGCTTGTTGGTCATTGCTTAATGCCTTGGCTGGCAGTTTTCCTGACATGCCTCCACCTGCAAGTGAGCAGCTTCTCCTGCAGCCCCTGGCAGAGCAGACCATGTCCCAGCTGGGGAAGTTTCTCAGTGAAATGCTGGAGGGCATGGGAGAGCGAACCAGGACTTGGGGGACCAGCTGGTCCTTGGAACAACCTACTCTCTCCATCCAGATCCCTTTCCACTTGTCAAGAGAGCTTTTATTTATCCAGAGCAGACAAAATTGTCAGGAAGGTAATAAAATAGGCTGAGGTTCTGTGGGCAACTTGTGGGATGCTGCTTGCTTGCTTTTAAGGAGTAAGTTTTTCCTTAAATTGGAAAGTATCCTTTGAGGGTGCCTGGGGTGCTGCACAGGGCAGCTTCTTTAGCTCAGGGGAAAGTGTCTGGATCCAATACCTGTGGGACAGATGGGCTCAGCAAACTGACAAGCTGATGTTTAGGGAAGTTTGCAAAGCCAGTGGTAGCATGGGACATCCCATTCCAGTGACCTTCATGTTCACATGCAGGTGAACACACCCACCAGCAGCTCAGTCATGTTCTGTGTCTCTTCAATGCCGTTTAATTTTGCTGGCTGCTTGCAAGGGTTTGATAGACAAAAGTGGTGTTTTGGAGGCAGAAGAGAAGATTTATAGACTTCTAAATTTTAAAAACCATGACACTGGTCAAAGTTTCTTGAAACCATTCATACCAGTCATCCGTGCTGAGGCTGGAGGTACACCATGATGGTGTGTGGTCTTTAGCCTGTAATATTCATGAAGATTTCCAATACTTAATTTTCCTCTTCCAGTCCCTCTAACCCTAGTGCAAAAAAAAAGGTTAGAAACTGCACTTCTAGCAGAGAGTGTTGGAGTCCAGATGATGTCCACAGTTGTTTCCTGTGTCTTTTCCTGTCACTGGAGCAAATCTTGACATTTGCAGAGATGTTACACTAGGATGAGTGAGAGTAAAACCACCAAGAGGAGCTTGCAGGACAGGCTGATAGAGTCTGTTTGTGCTGGTTCCTCCCAGGTTCCTCCCTGTTGAAGCAACTCCTCTAATCTGACTATCAGCCCTTCAAGTATTCAACCCAATCTCTGTAGCTCATCTCCAGCTTGAGCTTTTATCCTAACTAACAGGAGGAAGAATTCCTTTTGAATGGAAGAGACATTCTCCTTGTTAGACTCTGGAAGTGAAGCACGTGCACATGGCCCTGGTGCTTTGGCTGCAGGACTCATTAAATCTGTTTAATTTGGCTGTAATAATGTGCCTGGTGCCTGATGCACGGCAGGCAAGCATTGGGCACTCTCCTGCAGGAAGGCCTCGGCTTCGGGAAGAGGAAGAAGAAGTAGGAAAGTGAAAACCAGCCTCAGGGAGTGATAGTTTGCCGCTGCTTGATTAGGAGGATTTAAATAACCCATTAGGGAGCAGGCAGGAGAAATTTGTTGTTCTTATGAAGTGAGCAGCCAGTGTTTTTAGAGCTGTGCACAGGAGCTGCCAGGCCCAACAGAGGGTGGGTCCAGAGGATGTTTTTGCTTAGGAGAGGGGAAGTGCTGTGCAGCTGATCTCAGTGAGCTGAGCCGTAAGGGAAGGGCACTGCACCATGGCACAACAGTGGTCAAACATCCCCAAGGATGGGCCTGTAAATGGTGTTTCCATCTGGTGCTGGGGAGAGAAGGAACAAGCCCTGTGCCCTGAGGGCTGGGACAGTGGGATGTGGCTGTCAGGGGCACTGAAACACCCAGCAGAGGTCAAATTTTAGCAGAGGAAGAACACCAGAAAATGTGAGAAAGGGAATGAAATAACTCCTGGTCCTGGACAGAGTGGTCAGTCCCCCTGACTCCGAGTAAACATTCTATTGCCCAGCAACTATTAAGTTGCCAAGTAAACATTCATGGAGGTTGCAGTAGGCATAGAGCCTCTCTCCAGGGCTGAGGTAGACACGGGGCTGCAAAGGCCAAGGAAGGTCTCAGGAAAGTGGAGGCAAGAGGCTGCCAGGGCTCATCCCCTGCCTGGTGCCTCCCACACTGAGCCCTCGGGGTTGGAGGGCAGCCCCTGAGCTGAGCTGGGAAGGAAGCAGGGCTAGCAGGACCTGGGCTCTCTGTTTGTGCTGGTGGCTGGAGCGATGGACACCTGGAACAAAGAGGAGATGTCAGCCCCTTTCCTCAGGATGTGCAAGGTGGAACTCCCATCCTTCCTCAGGTAAGGGGGTTCACCCACCAGCCTGCATTCTCTTCTCCTGCCTTCTCCATGCCCCCCATCACTTCTGCCTCCTCTTCTACCCCCTTCCCCAGCTCTGTTCCTCCCTGTAGCACCTCCTGCTCTGCCAGGGGGATGCCTGCTAAGGAGGGTGGGGATGCCATGCTGCCAGATGGGATCTGAGATGGTGCTGGGAGGCTCTGCCCCATCACCCTACCCGGGACACAGTCCAGCATCCAGAGAAATCCAACACCCTGCCAAGGAACTCAACTCAGTGTGTAACCTCAAGGAAAACTCCTGTGGCAGGGAACTCACAGTGACAGAGGATGACTCCCAATCTTCACTTATTCAGCTCTTCAAGAAGAAGAAAGAAGCCCGAGAGACGGAAAAGGCCATGGCAGAGAAAGAAGAGGTGAGAAAGATGGGTGGGCGCTGGTGCATGGTTGGGATGGTTTGGGGGGTTTTGGAGGCTTTTTGGGAGGTAGGTGACAGATTTTGGGTGCAGGCAGCCATGTCACCCTCACTCTGGTGCTGCCAGGCCTTCAGGGGGAGGATGAAAGTCATCGCTGACCGCTGGAGGGACCTGCACGCCAAGAGGGCCCAGCTGAAAGCCCATGTGGAGAGATCTGGAAGGGCTGTACAGGTACACCAGATGACCTTGAGCTGCACCACCAACTCCTCCCCTCCCTTGGGGAAGAGGGTCTTGGGCCTGCGCTCCTGTTCAAGCTTTCTGTTGAGACTGGAGCTGTGAGGAACAGGACTGGCAGGGCACAAGGTTTTGTATCACAGATACGGAAAACCCTGATTGGTCTTGGGTGGAAAAGTGCTTATCCTGTACCAGAGAGATCTCCTGCAGACCCAAAATATCCCCCAGGAAAGGTGTTAGCCTTGCACCCACTGCTGATATCCAGATGTCTCCAGGGTGCAGATCCAAGCAGGTCTGAAATTCAGGCTGCCATCCCAGGTACTGGTCTCCAGGACCAAAGGGTCAATGTAAGAGGGATGGCCCTGTGAAACAGGGAGAGGAAATATTCCCAGGGTGGTCCAGTACTGATCTCTCCTCTCTGAAGATATGTCCTACCACTGCTGGTAAGTAATCCAGCTCCATCTTACCCAGCCTTCCTTTCCCTCTCTCTGTATGTGCATGTGTGCTGCTGGGGGAAACCGCCAGAAACATGAAGAGTTACGAATCCAAGCTCTGAAGGTAAACAGCAAACAAAGAGAGGAGAAAATGAAAAAGGATGGTGAACTTTTGAGAGTCAAGATGGAACTGGAAACCCTCAGAAAAAAACACCAGAAACTCTGCAAAAAAGTGCAGAAGTACTCCATCTTCAAGAAATACCTGGAGGATGTGGTGGAGGTCTCACAGGTGAGTTTTAAAATAAGTGAGACAGATCATGGCCTTGGGGAAAGCCTTAGATGAATGCTAAAACTAGAGAAGATAGGGCAAGTCCAGGACACTTGCTCAAACCCAGAGACCTCAGATGGGATGGAAAAATCAACCTGCAACCAAGGTGAGCCACAGGGAGCAGAGTTACAGTAGGAGAATCAGAACAGCAAGTGGAAGATTGAGAAAAGCAAAGAAAAACTGCGAGAAGGCAGAAAAGTTTAGGGCTGGGGGGAATGGGGACACCTTTGTGTCACTGTTTCAGGTAAGATGAATTGTTTGGGAGAAACTAAAACTGCTCAGAAGGTGTCCCCAGGCAGTTGCCAAAAAGCTGTGCTCTCTCTGGAGGATGTCAGGACATCACTCATACTCCAACTACCCCATCTGTGGCCTCTCAAGTCCTGGGGAGGTGGCTCTGGACACTGCAGTTGTTCTTTGTGCTTTATCAGAGCGCTGCTTGCCTGGGGAAAAGGTGCAGTACATCCCCTTGTTTATGGCAGTGACAGCTGCGGGTGCAGCACAGTGGGAGGACACCACACCGGGAATGCAGCAATGCTCAGGAGCCAGCTGGGGCAATAGTCTGATGGGGAAGGACAGAATCCCAGAACAGTTAGGGCTGGGGAAGGTGGGAAGATCCTTCAGGAGGGAGAGGCATTGGCCCAGGTAAGGGTAGGGTGCCAAATGACACGAGAGCCGCAAGCTGGTGAGGGAAGGGCAGAGTCACTAACACCAGGAACCCTGTGCTGCATTTGAGGACATCTCAGAAGTCACTTCACAGTACAAGTTGCTGGTGAGGACACGGAAGGACCTTCTGCAGTCACAGCAGGGGCACAAGCAACTGACTGAGCAAGACAAGGTGTTGTTGGAGCAGTACAAAGTACAGAAAGAAGCTGAGATGCTTCAGTACAAAACTGAGCTGGTGCAGCTCAAACTACGTTTTTATCAGGCTCAAGGTGACCTCCCCCTCTGGGTAAGGAATTGTGTGGTGGGCAGGGGAGGATCGCCAAGCCTGGCTCTGTCAAGACTGGCTGATGGCTCATCCTTCAGCAATGGGGTCACAGCAGAGTCCAGTAACCATCTCTGGGATTGGAATAGATTCCTAATTTCATCTCCCTCCGTGGGGTTGGAGAAGGAAGAATGGCAGACCAGTCTGGAGTATGAAACTTAGGGCCTCCAAGTCAGGGTCTCTGGGCCTCCAAGTCAGGGTCTCTGGTGCTGAAGCATGACGTTTGCTAGGGCATGTCTCCATGCTGCATGTTGTCTCTCCTTCCAGGAGGCTCACTGGGCTGACATCTAGGACAGGACCTCCAAGAAAACTAGGAAGCTGTGGACTATCAAGCTGGCCATCCACAACCTTTTCCAGTCCACCAACACACGGCTGCAAGCAGAGTGGGATGTGTTGGAGTGCAGCAGCTGCAGACAGCTGAGCCTGGTAGAGCCAAGCCAGAAGGAGGAGCAGCAATGAGTCTCCACTGCCTCAAGGGTGGGGAGAGCCCACAGACCCCACAGACACCTTCCTTTTCACTGGGGCTCTCTCTCAGCCATGGGGAAAGGGGCAGGGCACACCAGAGAAACCTGTCTCTTCTGAGGAGGTAGAGCAGGAGTCCTTGCCTGGCAGAAGGAGTGGGAGCCAGGCAGGCTGAGGCAGGGGATGCAGATCAAGCCATGGCCAGCACCAGTTTTATTCACCCTTGCCCTGAACTCAGGCTCATCCACAAAAGTCCATTCTGGTGGTGCAGATCCAGCAAGGCAAATGCCCTTTTCTGCTGCTCAGTTTGATATGTGACATTTGCCATCTGAAACAGCCATCAAGCCTCCCTCTGACTCCTGTCCCCATCCCTGCCCTAAGCTCTGCCATCTTTCTTTTCCACCCTAGATACAGATAGATAAGGCGTTTATCCAACGCCTTAAAGACATCCAGTTCTATGCAGGAGATGCAGAAGCACCAGAATGTTGCTACACCTCTGAAGACAAAAGGGATGTGGCAGCATGACCTGTCCTGCCAGTGAAGGTTCAGTGGGCTGGGAAGGGAAAGAGGAGGACAAGAGAACCCTACAGATACCCCAAACTAAAAGAAATAATAAAGGTGTCTCTTCATTTCCTGGGAGGATTGGACACATCAGAGCAACTCCATCCCACAGCTTCACCCCAGACAGCATTGGGGGGCCTTCCTTAGAATTCGGATTGCATGACACAGTGTTCCTGCAATGCTGGCAAGATTGTGAGAGCAGGCAGGGACAGGAGTGTGGTTTCAAACAGGGATCAGTACTAATGTTCACATTTGGACATCCCACTCAACCTAAGCTCTTAGATATTTCAGAGACACGTCACAACGAGGTGGGGAGACTGTGCTTTAGGAGAGCTTCAGAGAGTTCCCACCACCACACCCAGCACTTCTATGGATGTGGATTTCTCTGCACAGCCATGTGTCATGGACTAAAGCTCACCTTCCCCACAGGATCTTGGGGAAAGTGTGGAGAATGGATATAGGTGACAGACGAACCAGCCAAAGCTGAGATGTAGCTGCTCATCACGTGTGCCACCATGATGAATGCAAAACAAGAGGACTAGCAGTGGCTCTGGGGACACACTGTGGTGGTCAGTCAGGCTCCACAGTCTTTTGGGGAGAACCTTTTTATGCACCAAGGCCTCAATGACATAACTTACAGATTTTGAGGTAAGAGGCCATTGATCACATGCTCTTGCTCCCTGCTCTTCTGTCCTGAGCTGGGGGAAGAAGAGGAAATAAAACTTTCTGAGACTGGGGAAAGGTTGCACAATGCAATGCAGAAATGCTTTGTGTGATACTCAGCTGTCCCCAGGCTTTGGGTGGGATTTCGGAGGACCAGGGCTGGAAATGGAGCATCAGGAATGAGCTTTGGGGGCACGTCCCAAAACACCCACCACTCATTCAGAAGGATGTTTCCATCTTCCTCATCCTCACTATGGTGACTTGTTCAGAGGGATGTTTCTACTTTCCTCATCTTCACTGAGGTGCAGTGTCCTTGCAGTAACTGGGTTTTTTTAGGTCATGGCCTAGAGATAATATGGAAGAATTAAAAATTGGTGTTACAAAAGCAGTTCAAGTTCTTCAGTGTAGTGAGCATGTGAGTGAGCATGAATCCCAAACTGGCTCTTTTTAGCCAGGCAGGTTCTGCCATCCACTTGGTTTGATCTTCCAAAAAAACAGGGTGTGAACTTTGATATTTCCACATTGTATGGCAAGAAATAACGTGTCTGTAACAGTTTTAATCCTGGGTATTACCTCTCCTCCGAACTTCAGAGATTTACTGATATACACACCCTGCCTTCCCGCATGCGGGTGGGTAATTAGGAAGAAAAAATCCTCTTTGTGTGTTGGTACACGTCCTTCTAAGCAATCCCAATTTCCATAGGGATCACATGTGGTTGAAATGCAGCTGTTGCTGATATTCTGTGTGCTTTGCAGTGCATTGTGCTCATAAATAAAAAGTGGGGCAAATTTCAGTACCTAATATTTTACACAAGGAACTAAATGAGGGCTTCAGAGCCCTGTGCCAACACAGGAATTAACATGTTTGAATATTCTTACAGGAAATTTTAGAATGGTATAAATTAAATATATTAGATTGAATGGTCATGTGGATTATTACCTTTGATTTTTTAAAAATGTATTTTAATGATAAAGGTTAAAACAAACAAATTAAAGCCTTTAATTAGCATCCTCTTAGTTGGGAATATGCCTGTTATGGAAATATTTCCATTTTATAGCTATGCTTTTAAAATGAGGATACAAAAATGTAGAACTTACATCTCAAAAAATAACATTTCTTTCACTATCCTCACATGAGCCTGGTCCAGTTGCCTGCATCTTCCCACATCACACTGCCATAAGCTAGGAAATACAGCTGAAATCTAAGGCTGTTCTAGAGAATCTTGTTTCTTTGATTGTTTTGGTTTGGTTTCCCTCAGGGAATTTTGGGGGTTTTTTTGTTTTGTTGGTTTTTTTTGGTTTTTTTTTTTTTGGCTTGAGTTTTTTCATGAACTAATGACTGCTTCTTTTTAAATTAAAAAATTGAAGGAAAGAAAAGTCTTACACTTTCTTACTTTCTTTCAGGTGAATACCCACTGTTAACTGAGACAAGGCAGTGCAAGGCCTTTGTTTCTTCTTCAAATTCTAGTATAACTGAGGTTTTTTGACATTAATTGGGCTACTAAGAGTGCTGGACACAGGCTGAAACTGAAATGTGAGCACATAACAGGAATCCGTGCAGTGGTTAAGGAGTATCAGGGAAAATTTATTCTTGGAGTTATAGTGAAATAATTCCAATGTATCTTCACTGGAATTAATGAGTTTATTTTGGATTCATTTTCTTGTAAGTAGGAGGTTGGCAGCAGCAGGGATAAGAAAGTGGCTTTCCCTGAAATAGGACAGAGAAAGAAAAGAATGCAATCTAGGAATTGGTCTCTTAAGAAAAACTTCTTTCTATAACTTTTTTGCCTTATTGTATATTTTGCAGAGAAAAAACCAGTAAACCTTAAGTGGAATGATAGATGCGCGTGAGGGAGACAGGATGACTCCTGTTTAGAATTTGGTTTTAAATTTGAGAATATTCATGTGATTATTCCTCAGGAAGGCAGATCTTTCTCATGGGGGCAGGCAGCCACTGGGATCCACTGTCCTTCCTCGTGCTGTGTGGCACTGGGTTGTGTACAAAGACCAACAGACCATGGTGTTCATGTGAGTAAATTGGGACAAATTCCCAGGATTACTGTGATTATATAATGTTTATCTCATGTTACATCCTGGGCTTCAGGGCAGGATGGTCCCAGCTCCCTGCTACACCTGTACCTGTGCCCTGGAGCCCCAAAGGTCTGGGATTCCTGGGAGCCATGATGCATTTCTGGTGAAACATCTCTTTTTGTGCCCCGTAACACCAGGGGTTATTGGATTAAATGGGGAACACTGTGTCTGAGCTTGTCATTGCCAGGCTCTCACCTTCCACAGTTCCTATAAAATGCTGGTTTTAAGTCCATACTACAGTGTACAATCCAATTTGATTCTTGTCCTCTACTCCACTCAGCTGAGTTCCCACCTGGATCTTGGTAGGATCCAGCCCTGGCATCCCCCAACATAAGAAGGACGTGGAGCTGTTGGTGCAAGTTTTTAAGAGGTCACAAAGATGCTCCAAGGGCTGGAACACCTCTGCTATGGACACAGGCTAAGAGAGCTGGGGTGGTTCAGCCTGGAGAAGGCTCTGGGGAGATGTGGCAGCACCTTCCAGTACCTAAAGGGTCTTCCAGGAGAGCTGGAGGGGGGGCTTTTGACAAGACCATGGCATGATGGGACAAAGGGCAGGTTTAGATTTGATTTTAAGATGAAATTCTTTATTGTGAGGGTGGTAAGGCACTGGAATGGGTTGCATGGAGAAGCTGTGGATATTCCATCCCTGAAAGTATTCAAGACCAGGCTGGATGGAGACTTGAGCAACTGTTTTTGTGGAAGGTGTCTCTGCCCATGTCCAGGGGTTGGAATTAGATAATCTTTAAGGTCCCTTCCAACCCAAACTATTCTATGATTGTATGAAATTCAGTCCACTGTGGGCACAGCACATGCTCAGTGGCAATGGGAATTGCAATGTTCTCGGGCTTGGCTGTGAAGTATTTGCAAGATCAGAGTGTAGTAGAGAGTACAGTGCTGTAATTTTTGTTTGAGTGGCTTTAAAGGAAAAAAAGGAAGCACCCAACCAGATATCAGCTCTGAATTGGTCAGGCACTTGAACTAGAAGGCTGTTGAAGGTCCCTTCCAATTGAAATAGTCTATACTATTCAAAATATCTAGGGTTTGATATATGTTGTTGAGTCCCAGACACACAGAGATACATGTGTGATTACAGCAGTGTGAAAAAAATTAAGTCAATTTTAAGTCTTCTTTCCTTTTAAGATATGTGTAGTTCCAAATGCTGCCATTGTTGTGGCGTTATCACAGCTGAAGGTCATTTGGTGGTCCTGGGTAGGTCGTTGAAAATGAGGGTAAATAAAAGAACCCAACCCTTCATCTGGCATTGAGTACTGGGTGGAGAAACTTCATTTGCAGGTCTTTGATGGCTAGCTGAGAGACACCTTTGGATGAGCAATAGCTGCCTGCCAATTTGGCAACACAACTACTCAGGGGCAGCCAGCAGCAAGAGTGACTGGTTGATGAGCCAGTTTGCACCAAGAGCTCCTTGTGAAGGGCAGAAAAAGGATATGCTTCAGCTTAAGGGAAGGGGGAGCAGCTGGAAGGAATACTCAGCAAAAAGTCTGCATGAAGTGTTGGCTGGAGCAATGCTGAGTGCATTTGGGCTGGATGTTGTGATTGTGGGTTTGCAAACATGAGGGGCCAGGCACCTGCTGAGAAGCTGCACATAGGGGGTAACTCTCTTGTGTTCAAATGGTAAGGGAAAAGGGGCGGGGGGGGGGGGAAGAGTTAAATTGCTTGCAAAAAGTCAGTGTTTATGTAACAGCCAATGGTTATTTTAAAGCCAGAGAGGGATGCCCGTAGAGCAGAGAGTTGATGATGAGATAGAGTTAAATCTAAATATGTGTAAAGTCCTGGAGAGGAAAGGATAACCTTTCAAAGTGAGCATGTACAGCTGCTCACACTTGTTCACTAACCCTTGCAAAATGTGTCCAGTGGGAATTCCCACACAACACCAAGTAAATTGCAGATTCAGGAGGAAGCCACGCTGCTGAATAACAGATGTTCAATCACTACTCACTCTCTGCCCCCTTGGATGGAGAGGCACTGCAGTCTTGCTCCACACCCACCCTTCTCTCCCCACTCCCCATCCTCTCACCTGTGCCTTGCTCGATACAGAGGCTTTGATTCGTTTTTCATGAATACAAATGTGTGCACATAACGTGCACAGCAAGGAAAGGAAGAGATTAGAAACACCTGGTGGGAGCTTCTAGGGGAAAAATGCCTTCAAGACAGTGAGCCCAGAGCATTTTTGCCTCTGCTGGGTGTCAGGT